GGCCCACAGACTGAGGGGGAATCAAGTGGCTGATCAGAGGGAGATTACAGGGATCTCTTTGCCAGTGCTGAGGCAGGAATCTCTTGCTTTGCCTGTGCTTGGATTTGGGTTACAGTTCTGAGGGGTGGTCCTAGGGTGAGGAGGAATGCTGGCAAGGTAGAGCTTGTTGTGGTGGTGAAGAGGAAACACCTCGCCCCTTATCATAACACCGTGGAAGAACTGAAAATCTACAGGTTCCTAGAAGTATCTTTGAAAACAACTGTACAAACCCCCAAAGCTTGGGACAGTACATTCTCCACATTGGAAGCAGACTCTTACCTTAACAAAGAGTTTAAAACTTAAGTAATTGGCCAGGATCATGAGTAAGCAGCGCAAAAAGAGTCAGACTGTATTATCTTACTTTGGTGACAAAGAAGATCAAAATATACAACCAGAGGAAGACAACAAAGCCAAAGCACCCACATCCAAAGCCTCCAAGAAAAATACGAATCAGTCCCAGGCCTTGGAAGAGCTCAAAAGGGATTTTGAGAAGCAAGTAAGAGAAGTAGAGGAAAAACTGAGAGTGATGCAAGAAAATCATGAAAAACAAGTCAACAGCTTGCTAAAGGAGACCCAAAAAAAATACTGAAGAAAGTAACACCTTAAAAATAGCCTAACCCAAATGACAAAAGAGGTACAAAAAACCAATGAGGAGAAGAATACCCTAAAAGCAAAATTGGCCAAATGGAAAAGGAAGTCCAAAAGATTACTGAAGAAAATACTTCCTTAAAAATTAGAATAGAGCAATTGGAAGCTAGCGACTTTATGAGAAATCAAGACATTGCAAAACAAATCCAAAAGAATGAAAAATTAGAAAACAATGTGAAATATCTCATTGGAAAAACAACTGACCTGGAAAATAGATCCAGGAGAGAGAATTTTAAAATTATTGGACTATCTGAAAGCCATGATCAAAAAAAGAGCCTGGATATCATCTTCCAAGAAATTATCAAGGAAAACAGCCCTGATATTTTAGAACTAGAGGGCAAAATAGAAATTGAAAGAATCCACTTATCTCCTCCTAAAAGAGATCCCCAAAGGAAAACTCCTAGGAATATTGTAGCCAGATTCCAAAGTTCCCAGGCCAAGGAGAAAATATTACAAGCAACCAGAAAGAAACAATTCAATTATTGTGAAAACACAATCAGGAAAACACAAGATTTAGCAGCTTCTACATTAAGGGATCGCAGGGCATGGAATATAATATTCCACAGGGCAAAGGAGATAGAATTACAACCAAGAATCACCTACCCAGCAAAACTGAGTATAATTCTGCAGGGGGAAAAAATGGTCATTCAGTGAAATAGAGGACTTTCAAGCATTCTTGATGAAAAGACCAGAACTGAATAGAAAATTTGACTTTCAAATACAAGACTCGAGTGGAACATGAAGAGGTAAACAGGAAAGAGAACTCATAAGAGACTTATTATGGTTGAACTGTTTACATTCTTGCATGGAAAGATGATATTTGTAACTCATGAGACCTTTATCAGTATTAGGGTAGTTGGAGGGAAAAAAAATTATATGTATTATATATAGCTATAGATAGATAGATAGATAGATAGATAGATAGATAGATAGATAGATAGATAGATAGATAGATAGATGTAAGACACAGGGTGAGTTAAAGATGAAGGGGTCATATCTGGAGAATAAAATTAAGGGGTGAGAGAGGATTATACTAGAAGAAGGAGAAAGGGAGAGGTAGAACAGATTAAATTATCTCACAAAAAAACAGAAAAGAAAAGGCTGTTACAGTGGAGGGGAAACAGGAGAAGGTGAGAGGGAATGAGTGAATCTTATTTTCATAGGATTTGACTTAGGGAGGGAATAACATACACACTCAATTGGGTATGGAAATCTGTCTTACCCTACAGGAAAATGGGGGGGGGGGAATGGGACAAGAGAGTAGGAGGATGATAGAGAGGAGGGCAGATTGGGAAAGGTGGTAATCAGAAGCAAATACTTCTGAGGAGGGACAGGGTCAAAAGAAAGAATAGAATAAATGGGGGGGTGGGATAGGTTTAAGGGAAATAGAGTTAGTTTCACAGCATGTCTACTATGGAAGTGTTTTGCCTAACTGCACATGTATAACCTATATTTAGATGCTTACCTTATCAATGAGGGTGGGTGGGGAGGGAGGAAGGGAGAACAGTTGGAACCCAAAGTTCCAGTTTAAACACGTGTTTAAAAAAATGTTTTCATATGCAACTGTGAAATAAAAAAATACAGGAAATGGGGTACAGAAATCTATCCTGCCCTACAGGAAAATAGAAGGTGAAGGGGATAAGAGAAGGGGGGGAGAGATAGAAGGGAAGGCCAACTAGGGGAAGGGGTATTCAGAATGCATGCCATCTTGGGGGTGAAGGGAGGGGCGAGATGGGGTGAAAATTTGGAACTCAAAATCTTGTGAAAGTAAATGTTGAAAACAAAAAAATAAATTTATTATTAAAAAAGAGTACTTTGTCTTTTAAAAATTTTATTTACAGATATTCAATATCTTTAATATAGAATTGCTAACTTAAGTAAAAACATGCACAGAACAAAGAAAAATCAAGAGACAAAAGATTCTGACCCTGTGCTCCATCAAATACCACTGGTAAGGCAGATTATCAATTTAACAAACCTCAAAAGTCTACCAACTGGTAAGTAGTTGCTATTATCCATTAAATACAGCTAACATTTTTCAAATGCATTGCTAATTCATTTGACATGTTTAATCAGTTTAAGGCATATCCTTTTAACACAATATTCACCAAATAAGCAGATTATTACTTCTTTGCCTCAGCATGCTCTCTGAGATGATGAATAAAAGAGCAAAGCTGTAGGAAAAATTCAACTTTATAGTCAAATAATTGCATGTCCACATGGACTCATATAACTAGGCATGGGTAATCTGGAGTCCTCTTGGGAAGCATCAGGCCACATGTCCAGAAGTATCAACATGTCTTATTTGTTTACAACTCAGTGGCCTGTAAGCCATAGTGAAAGTGAGAATTCTGAGCAATGCATTGTAGAATGTTAAGAGAGACAAAGGTCATTTATCTTATATCATGCACTTCTTTGCAAAAGATGACCAAAAAAAAAAAAAGACTCACTTAAACATTAAGTTGAAAACTGTCATTTTTGCTGCTGTAGGTGATGTAATTTATATTACCCATGGCAATGAAGCACCAAGAAAAAAGCATCACAAATCTAACTTCTATTACAACATTGTTACTAATATGATTGAAGACTAACTTGGCACATTCAGGTTTTTCATAACAAGGTATACATTTGGTATACCTAAAATTCATACATCATTTAAATGCATATCACACAACATATTTTGGTATTGAAATTCTCTTATGCAGCAATCTAGCTATAAACTGAAAGTTCAGATGGATGTTTTGAGTATAAATAAGCCTAATAACTCTATATGTTTAATCAAGTTATACTCATGCCTTCTGAAAATAAATGCAAATACTTTTGGAATTCCTAGAAGCAGAAACACATATATTTCAACAGAAACATGAACAAAACTATTAAAACTAATGTTTAACTAATGTTTAATGTTAAAGAACATTCTGTTTTCTACATAGACACACACATACATACTTAAATGCTGACAAATAATGAGAAATATGCAATCCTTTAAAATTGCTATCTCTAATTTCCTAAATAGAATTAATACAAATCCTTTTGAGGATTTTAAAATATCATCATTTGTAAACTGGAGCTTATAAATAGGTATTTCTCTCAAAGTTCTTTGCCATCTTTAGGCTACCTAGAGATGTCAACAGTTAATATAGGGTCTACTGCTGTTATGATAATTCAGTATCTAAAGCAATCAGGCATATCTGAAAATCCCCATCAGGATGTTGTATATAGAGGGTTGAATTTAAAGTTAAATGATCTAGGTACAAATGCTGGTTCTGCTAATTACTACCTGTGGCACTGTGGCCAAGTCAATTGATCCTCTAAATCTTAGTTTTCTTCTCTGTAAACTGAGAATGAGATTATCAGTTATGTCAAATTCAAATAGAAATAGATCTTTGTACTGCATATTGACTTAGAAAACCACAAATTAACATTATCTATGTTTTATTGTATTTTGTTAAACAATACCCAATTACATTTAAGCCATATTCAGGCCCCAACCAGGCATTTTGCTGGCCACATGGAATAGGGGGGCCTCCAATATTACATCTCTGGATTAAACAATGCTTAAGATCTCTTTTATCTCTAAATCCTATGATTCCATGAAATCATTTCTATTGATTGTCCTCCTCTTCTGGGCCAAAAGTGGTATGTTTCTTTAGATCTCATCTCTCTGAGCACTTTGATCTTCACAGTGTCTTACTGTAGCTATTATAGCTCCCAAAGTTCCACTAGATGTTATCACTAATTCTAGAAAGCTATAATTAGAAATTATCCAGAGCAGTTCTCAGGGTGACTATGATAAAATCTGGAGAATTCTCTATAATGGTAGTGCTGTAAGAAATCTCTCAGCAAACCTGGTGAAGTGACTTCATTACCATGGCTACTAGAGAAAGCTTACTTTTAAGGGTGTTGCTACCTCTCCATTTTCCCAGAGAAACCCAGTAATTGAACAAAAGTATGTTGCTGAAATTCTACAGATCCTATAGTAAAAGAGGCATTGGTCTCCGTAATAACAATTCATCAGGTAAAAAAATAACTTCTTCCCTACCCCACCTCCTTCACTCCATCACTATATATCAACTATATATCAACTATACATATATATATATATAAAATAGCTATATATCTATTAGCTATGATGAATTTTACAGGGAAACTCCAGAGGAAACAAAGATATGAATGATTTTTGATACTCCATTACTCTGAAATTTTCACTAAAGAACCACATTTTTGACCCAGCAGCCAAAGATTAAGTATCCTTTATATACTCAATAACATTAGAGGTAACAACGATTTAAAAAAAATTATTCAGTCCTTACCCTTGCTTCTTGAACTTTCTTGACTTTTTTCCTGCTGGAATAAAACATAGAAATGTGTCAAAGTCTGTAAATGACTTTTTAATCAGCAGAATTTTTTGTTTTTAACAACTATCAAGAGCCCTGAAACAGAATAATATTGAGTTTTAGTTACCTCACCTGTACATTGACAGGGATGGACTGAAAAGTTTTCTAAGCATCTTTCTACATCTGAATTTGTGATACTATGATCCCATTGTCTATGCTACAGAAAGGCAATATATTTTTAAATAAAGCTACTTAGAAACAGGGCAAACATCAGGATGTAGTATTAAGAGTGCTAGATTTGGAATTAGAAAGGTTAGGTCACTACCTAAGGGACACCTTGAAAAAGTTAACTTCACTTCTATTTTTGAAACATTATCAAAAAAGAATTACTTGCAGGATATACAAAAGATCAGGAATTAGCAATGGGTATATATTTCTGTATCAAATTGGCATCTTAAATGAAATATGATTTCAAAAGTTGACCATGATGAATTAGTACAGATATGTGATTTAAAAGATGTGTTCTTTTGATGTCCTTAGGCAAATCCATTTAGAAAATAATTATAATTTAATTTTATCTCAGAAAACTGCTTCCTTCTCTTCTGTGTTAATAATAAATTATTTATAAAGAATACACTTTAATGGGCAAACATTCTCAGGAATTCACTAAAAGACACAAAAGACTTTTTAACAATTGTTCAATTTAACTTTGGATTTGGCCCCATCTCACTCCTCTAAAGGGGAAAAAAATGAGGCTAAAGTTGACAATGATTCTATTCATTCATGTGGTTTTTTTTTCATTCAAACCTGTCTCTCAGTTTGACATACCTCCTTGTTAGTTGCCCAGCAACCACTGAAGAATTAGCTTTCTTTCACATTTTTAAGTAGAAACCATTCACCCTATGACTTCTCATTTAAGGCTTAAGCACTCTTTACTTTCTTTAAAAGTTTTAGGGTTTCAGAGCATAAGTTAGGGATGATGCAAAGTATACTGAAAAAAAAGGGTGTCAGGGTCTGCTACCTACTACTTATGTAACTTCAGACTATTCATTTTACTTTCCTGGTCCTCTATTTCCTCATTTTTTAAATGAAAGAGCTCAAATGATTATGATCTATGACTCTAAATACTTCAAATTACAGATATTATTTACAGAATAGATGTTATGAAGTTAGATTTGAAAAATGATAGCTTATCGTGGCTCCAAGAAGCCAGCATCTCATGGTCTATGGGAGAACTCTGAGTTTAGACATAGAGGACCCAAATTCAGATCCTGTCTCTGCAGATAACTAACTGTATGACTTTGGGTAAATCATTCTATCCCTCTGGGTCTCACTTTCCTAATCTGTAAGGTCAAGGGGTTGATTTAAATCAGCTCAGGTCCAATCTGGATCTAAATCCATGATCCTAGAAGTGAAAGACAAATGCAGCGTCAGTGAAATTTTTTGGCAAGGTGAAGGAGGAGCAAAGAGCTCTTATGTTAGTAAGCAAGTTAGTACTTGGTTCTAGAGTGAGAGGTGTGCAATTCGAATACCATATCTGATGCCTATTACCACTGTGGTCTTTGATAAATCATTTAACCTCTTTTGGCTCTGACTTTCCCAGCTGGAAAATGAGGGGAATGTGCTAGATTGCCTCTGACATCTCCTGCAGATCTAAACTGTTGATGATTTTTGATGCAAGTGTTGCCAGACTTTTCTCTTCCTTTTCTTCTTTTCCCTTTGCTTTGCATTCTGACCAGTTTGTGTCTTCCTAATACTTTTACCAAGACACAAAACTGAGCAGACAAGGTTTTTTAAAATTTATGAGTTTGAGAAACATAGATTTTTTTTTCTTTTTATTGTGATGGATGAAGAGTAAGTAATAAAGTGTAACTAGAGAAGTGTGACATTCACACTTTGGTTCCATCCTACTTAGCTTGGCTGATTACATATTCTTTGCTTCAGTCAAACTGGACCACCTGATGTTTCCAAAGCATAGCATTCTGCCATTCACTTCCATGCCTTTGCATAGGCTGTTCCTCAGGCCTGGAATGCTTTATATCTTCTTTTCTTTTGGAAATCTCTGTTCACTTCAAGGTGTAGCTCAAATAGCTAGATGGCCTTCCTGATTATATCAGTTGTTCAACTCTCCTCTCCTCTTCCTCAAATCACTGCCTATAAATGTTGTAAGAATTAGATTATGAACCCCCTAAGTAGTCGACTGATCTTTGCATGTCTTAATATCCTCAGCACTTAACACAGTGACTGGCATACAGTAGCCTTTTAATAAATACCTATTGATTGACTGGCTATTCACTAAACATCTTGTATTCATTTTCCAGTAAACACACATCCTAGAAGAATGTAAGCTCATTAAGGTGAATGTCTCATTTTTCTGTTTCTATCCAAAGTGTCTAGCATTGCACCTAGAGTATAGAAGAGCCTTAATAAAAGCTTTTCAGTTGATGGATTGATTATGGGGACTCAAAAAAACATAGTTCTCATAGTTGGATTTATAAGCAACTGGATAGTTGCTTACTATGGTTTATAGTACTGCAAAACCTCTTCCCACTTTTTTTTATCAGCACCCTTAATCTTTCAAGGTGAATCTGAAATGCCATCTCCTCCAAGAAGCATTCCGTGACCTCACTAGTTAGAAACACATCTTGATCTCTCATAAAACTTTCTTTGTACCACCCTCCTAGATTTAGCTCGTTCTATTTTTATCATAGCAATTTTTGTATCTGTCCTTATCATATGCCCTTGTAGTCTGATAGATTGATAAAAGACAAGGACTGTGTCATAACACCACAGGCTTATTGTGAAACTAAGTAAAGCTTTTGGTTATCCTTAAAGCACTATATAAATGTTAACTATTACTGTTATTGTTTATCTTTGAATGCCATAGCATCTTCTACTATGGCAATATATTGATAAATATTTATTTAATTTAAAAGTCCATGAACCATGTTATGGCTGTTTGTAAGGACATAGAAGACTTTGGGCAATTTTGACTTATAACAGCAAAAGCAAATCAAAATAAAAAGTTGAAAGGCAAATAAGCCTGTAGGGAAAATGGTGTGAGATTTTGCTAAGAAATATCATCTCCCAAATATTTATGGATAATTCAGAGGACAGAAGACTCAAAATTGGACAGTTCTATCTGTCCAATCCATCCTTCACACTCTCTGAGAGAGAGTGTGAAGGATGTGGCAATACAATTTGGGGATAGCATTACCATCAGACCTTGCCCTTTGGTGAGAGGGAAGAGGTAATAACAATGTACAACACCCATGCATCCAGGGATGACTGGCCCATGGTCTCATAACACTAAGACTTGATGTCAAAATCTAAAATATCATTGAGTAAAGTTATCTCTTCAGTAACACCTGACAATCTCATAAAATTCTCATGCATGAGTAGAAAATGCATGGTTTCAGGAGAACCTTCAAGGCTGTGTTTTACTTCACTGAATTAAATGCTTTATAAAAAAAATCAGTAAGTGATAAACAGAGCTGGATTTCATATTCTCTAACCTCTCAACTTGTATAACTGCAAAGGTGTGACTTTCTATAGGAAAAAAATATCTCTCCAAAAGCTGGTTTCTTGTTTTCTGATGTGCTCATCAAAGATACACTTGATGACTTTAAACTATTTTTGTTTTAACGACTATCAGGAACCCTGAAACATATATAGCTTTTATAAAAACTCTAAAGCTTTTATAAAAAGGAGAAACCAAGAATATCACTAAGTTGTTTTAATGTGGTTTTGGTACCTTTTTGTTGCTGAAATCTCTATCTGTGATCTTTTGGATTCTTTTTGCCTTTAAGATATGGCTAAAAAACAAATTACTGAGTGTCTCTAAAATGTTATCACCTACAGTAGAAGTGTCAAATTCAAATAGAAATAAGAACCACTAAACTATACTTAAGGATTCCTGTGGGCTACAATATTGACCTAGTTTTAAAATGCAATATTATCTGTGTTTTATTGTATTTTTATGTATCTTGTTAAATATTTCCCAATCTTATTTTTATCTGGTTCTAGCCACACTGAAGAATGGTGTAGGCATTTTGACCTGTCTGACATTTCTGACCTACAACATGGATTTCTTATTTGGTCAAACCTAGCTACTCTTTCCCACTTAATCTTTAATGCCAGTGTCATTTCCTCACAGAGTCCAAGTGTGGTGATTGTACAACTGGTGCAAAAAGATATATACATCATTATAAAAATACCAGCAGATAGAACTGTTCAATTTTGAGTCTTCTGTCCTCTGAATTATCCATAAATATTTGGGGGATGATATTTCTTAGCAAAATCTCACACCATTTTCCCTACAGGCTTATTTGCCTTTCAACTTTTTATTTTGATTTGCTTTTGCTGTTATAAGTCAAAACTCCCCAAAGTCTTCTATCATCTTTCTCTGATGTTTTACAAATGGGTAAATCAGCTCTGTCCATGGACTGCCAAGGTCCACTACTTGCAAAGGAGATCGTTTACTGGTTGAGGAAGCTTCTGAGTTGTTTGTTCTTACTGTTTTCTATCAGTTCAGTTTCTCGATAATGGTGATAGAGTGGATTCATTTTTATCTATTTACTAATTATTGAAGTTGATAGCTTGTTTGAAATTTGCTTTGAAATTCCTATAAATTCATGCAGAGTCTTTTTTCACCTTATTTTGACCACTGACTTTACCAATATCAATGTAAGGACTTCTGAAATGAGCATTTATATATATGCACACTATTGCCCTTTTAAAATGTAACAAGTTTGGTGCTGAAAAGGACAGGATTTTTTTTTTCACAAAGAAAAAACAACAACTGTGAAAGAGTGTAATGTTATACCCCTTTCATAAGTAAATAGTGGTTGAAGGGGGCAAAACAGAACTTTGGTTTAATAAAATGCTAAAATCCATGCTTAAAGAAGCATGATCTTCAGATAAATATGAGTAGTTCAGTTGCCAAAAGGAGCAAAAAATGGACTTCTATATAAATAAAAAGGTTTAAATCACCTTGAAAAGGATAATATT